TGGAAGATCTTGGAAGTCTTGCGGGGGAGCTTGCGGTATGTCCTTCAAACGCGACAGCAACAGAATTTCTGCTGCACCGCTCTTCAACTCGTCGTTAGAATCTTCAACAAGCATTCCCCATTTCCTCGCCTGTGTCATGAGCATCTTCTTGAAATCATCTGCTGTGTATGTTCCGCCCTGCTGCTGCTTTGTCATATCCACGTCCCCTTCAGCAGACATCCCTTCTGTGCACATCCAACCAACCACTTTTCTCAAGCTGTATGCACCGGTATCAGCACTGTCGTCTACACGCAAATCACGCGCCTCTGTGAACCGTGCCAATAGCATCCGTGCTCTGAGCGACTCCTCTGCGTTCGTTGCAATGCTTGCACGAATGTTCACTCTGACTTCGAAGTAGTTGGGCACTCTCTCCGTTAGTAGTTCAAACTCCCCGTCGTCATCGTAGTGGATGCCTTCCTCAGCGTATTGCATTACCTCTTTAAGAGTTGTCCTCGCCTGCGCCGCTGACATAGACATAATGGTTGTGCTTTTGTGCATGTGTCTGTAAGTGGAACGACAAAACGATGATTTCAATCTCCGTGAGGGTTTGTTTAATGTTGTTTGTGTATCCCTCTGCAGGAAGTATGCGGTCGTGAGACGCTGCCAGTCAGTACACGGACATCATAGCAGGGTTGACTACTGGGTGCCATTTTTTCTTGGAATCAATGACATTAAAACGAATCCAGCACGCAGTAGTCAACTCCTCTCTCACTGCTTTCACTCTCCACCCAAACCGCTCCCCATTGGTTTGGCAACCGTAGGGGGTGTTCCGCGGCCTACTGAAAAGTTCCCCCCAAGCACCCCGCCCCCCCCTTTTCATACGTGTGAAGCATTGTACGTATCACAGGGCCACGAACCATTCATTCATAAATCCATGCAGGGCAGAGTACAACTTACCTAAGACGGAATAGTCCTCCGCCAAGTGTGTGTTTGTGTGTGTGTGTGTGTGTGTATGTGTGTGTGTGTGTGTGTGTGTGTGTGTGTGCGTGTGTGTGTCTGTGTGTGTGTGTGTCTGTGTGTGTATGTGTGTGTGTATGTGTGTGTGTGACTGTATGTGCCTCTGTGTGTGTGTGTGTGTGTGTGTGTTTGTGTGTGTGTATGTGTGTGTGTCTGTATCTATGTCTGTCTCTCTATCTTTCGTGTGTGTGTGTCTGTATCTGTGTCTGTATCTGTGTGTGTATGTCTGTGTATGTCCGTGTATGTCTGTGTATGTCTGTGTATGTGCGTGTATGTCTGTGTATGTCTGTGTATGTCTGTGTGTGCATGTGTGTGTATGTGTGTGTATGTTTGTGTATGTCCGTATATGTCTGTGTATATCCGTCTATGTCTGTGTATATCCGTCTATGTCTTGGTATCCGTCTATGTCTTGGTATCCGTCTATGTCTGTGTCTGTGTCTGAAGGTGTCTACGTATGTCTGTGTCCATGTTTGTCTGTGTTTGTCTCTGTGTCAGTCTGTGTCTCCGTATGTCTGTGTCTGTATCTCTGTGTCCGTCTGTGTCTCCGTATGTCTGTGTCCGTGTCTCTCTGTGTCTGTGGCTGTCTCTCTGTCTGGTTGTGTCTCCGTATGTCTGTGTCCGTGTCTGTGTCTGTGTCTGTGTCTGTCTGTGTCCGTGTCTCCGTATGTCTGTGCCCGTGTCTGTCTGTGTCTGTTTGTGTATGTATGTGTACCATTTGTGTGTGTATGTCTGTGTATATCTGTGTATGTCTATGTGTGTATGTCTGTGTATGTCTGTGTATATTTGTGTATGTCTGTGTATGTCTGTTTATGTCTGTGTGTCTGTGTCAACAGAAAAAATGTGGGAAAATTTCATCAAGTTTCCAACTCGGTCACCGCGCCGGACCAGCATTGGAACGACGACAAATGCTGTGGCCAACCGTTGGAGCATCACCGTTTTATGTTTCCAACCGTTTGATGAACACGCGGCCGACGTGTTTCCAACATTTGTTCAACGTTGGTCCAACGTCTTTCCAACACGTTTCCAACACGTGTGCGTTGAAACAAAAGTGCTATCAGGTTCCCATGACTGAAGTTGACTACTGCGGGACAATTTAGGCACAATCGCATTGAATCCACCTGAATTGGCCCGCAGTTGTCAACTGGTGGGTTTGGAGGAGGTGCGCGGGTCAACAATTGTAAACGCGCACCGAATACATCAAAAAATGGGAGCCCACGAAAGAGGGTCGCACCCCCGGGCAAAGGAAGATGAGGCCGGTCGTAGTTGAAGGCCCGCGGAGCTCCCTTCGCGGACGATTCCGAATCCTGCTGCATGCGCAGTGATGCGCTCGAGCCTTGGAAGAGGGCGAACGGTTCGCGGCTGTTTGTTCAGCATGGAATGAGATGGTGCCCATGCAAAGGAATTGCCCCCCGCACTTCCTCCTTTGTGCACATCGCCAAAAAACCCTGAAAGAAAAAAAGGAAAAAAAAAAAAAAAAAAAAGATGTAAGCGCCTGCGGAAAAAACGCTT